TTGTGCAGAGGACCTTTCAGCAGAAAGCCCTACAGGAACAGGACAGCCCTCAGCCCTGCGGTGACCAGAGGCCCTCGTCCTCTGGGGATTCTCGCATGGCTGGAGATGCGCACTGTGTCGTGATGCTGCGGGAGCTTCAGTGCAGGAATGGGGCCCAGAGCTTCCGCTGAGCAAAAGGCACAGCCTGAAAGCATCCCCTCCCACGGCAGGAGCAAAGTGACTGTAGGGGCTTCCCAGCTTTTGGCAGGATTCTGCTGGATGGGAGCCGGCCGCTCAGCGGGATGGGAAATTTCTATTGCGCAGCACCTTCCCTCTTACGTGTCCGTATGCAGATAGCAACTCCATGTTGTATTTTGATGACAAAATGAGCATACTTCTCATGCAAATTACTTCTGTTATGAGAGGGCATGCGAGCAGGTTGCAATTCGGCAAGTGTTTCACATTGACGTGGTGTTTTTGGTGAGGTCAAAAAGCTTTGGACACAACTCCTACTCAAGTCCTGTGGGACCGGTGCAGGTAAGGCAGGATTCCCGTGCAACAGAGAGATGTGAATCTTCCCCTTTGCAAACCTCTTCCCAAATGCTTTTTAAGCCCCTGAAGCCTTTTCTGCCCTCAACAGATGTGGGCTCTGTACCGCCTTTCTGAAAGTATCAGATAATGAGACCGAGAGGTGAAACTGCAATATGTCACATCTTGTGAGTCTTAATTTTGGTAAAACCCCACTGGGAAAGATGGATAGCACGAAAGTCGAGCCCATCCATGCTTTACGAAGCAGGTGTTGGGCTCTATGAATGACCACATCAGCAATTAAATGGAAGGCTTGAATTACTAAAATGGAAAGAGTATTCTGGGCTGGGAGGAATTGGGACATGCGGGTGAGACTTATGGTTAAGCCACTTTCTGTCTATCTCAGCTTCCCCTTTGTAGCAGGAGTTCTCTTATTCTGAAACAGATCATTTTTGGCAGCCCTCACCACCAATATGGCCAATGGCCAATGCAGCCATCTCCCCGTGCTGGAGCAGAACACAGGTTCTGCACAGTGCTCCCATGGCTTCCACTCCTTTACATCTCCTGGAGGTGTGGAGGAGACCTTTCCTACAAGGGCGGTGTGCAGAAGCATGCAGGAAGGACACAGGCAGGGTATGATGGCACATGGATCTGCCGGAACCCAAGGCTGCGTTGGTGCTTGGACATCTTCCACTTGTAGATAAACACCCAAAAACGAAGGGACTGGGCATAATTGTGCAATAAAGTCCTGTGGCACTGATCTGTTTCACTCCGTTGGGTAGCTGTAGCGCTAAGCAACTGAGCAGAAAGAGACCAAACACCGCACTGAGTTGTTGGTAAGCAAGTGAAATATTTAGTCTATTGATTTAATTACACTAAGGAGCCTCCCGAGTTCATTTCCTTATGCTGAGCAATGAACCATCGCTTGTCTCCTTTGCTCTTGCTCTGAGTTTCTCTGTTTATTGTACAGCAGATTCTCTGCCCAAGATGTTTGCTTAGCACTTTGCATTTAACTAAATCCTTATTGAGATACACACCCTCAGCGTGACAAGCAGTGTAGGAAATAACCTGCTCTGGTCCAGTTCTCTTACTCAGAGCTGTCTTATAAAAGAATGGCAACACCTCACAGGAGATTTGGGATGTGTCAGAAGCACGGAGTGACTTCTGGCCTCCAAATGGACACACCACGCCAACACCATGGCCTCTGGTCATCATTTCAAGTGGAGAGACCACTGATGAGATGACAAAGTTGGTAATGACCAAAGGCAATATGGGGAAATGCTACATTTGGAGTTTCTTCATGGTTTATCCACACAAAAAATGCTGTGTGCTCTGTTTGTCAGCCAAAGAATGGTCTGTTGGTGGTGAGTCCCAGTGCCTACCAGCCAGCCCAACCTGTTGCTATCAACACAACTCCCTAAAATTTTGCTAGAAATAAGTCTGTCTGCTTTGATCGTGACTCGTTTCCAAGCAGCAACAGCTGCAAACCAATGCTACCAGATTGAATACTTCTAAAAAGCATTTTGAAGAATGCTGAGTCTGAATTGAATACAAAATGCAGACAAATGTAATGCAACGTTCGGTCTCTTGCTTCAATATTCCTCAGTGGACGTTGTTTTTTTAATGTAAAAAGATCTGAATTAGAGTCGAAGCATGCAAGCAATGTATCCAAAGCTACACCTTATTTTTCTCCCCTTTCTTTTGAACTTTTTATTCACCAAAGTTCACTGCACACCACAGTGGTGTCAGCAGCTGCTCTATGGAATTTTCAAGACCGAAGGCCAAATGTCAGTGGTTTGTTAACTAAAATGCAGTTTTTTCTTGTTATCCAAGAAGAACCATTTGCTTTTTGGCGTTAATGTAAATAAGAAAAAGATTTCTGTTGTATTTCTTTTCAGTTTTCTTTTATTACATTGGAAGGAAAGAGCAAAATGTTTGCTCTGGTTGCACTGACTGGTTGATAGCTTATCAAACATAGAGCACGAGCACAGAGAAAGGGAACCTTGTGAAGCGTGTTGCTTGCTTCTCTGCAATCTCAACAAGCTGAATGGCAGAGCAGCTTTCAGCCCAACACCTCTATGGGCTTTTTGCTGTTGTCTCTGATGCATAGCACTGCAGGGAGTGCTGTGTTTGGTACCGTTTGGTGCTCTCCATCCACTTGGAGAGATCGCTCCAAAGGGTTTGGGGTTCATGCCAGGCTTTTCTCAGCAATCAGCAAATGCAGCAAGTGATAACATTGATGAAAGGAGCTTGGTTTTGTGAGGCGGCCTGACCAAAGCGTTGCAATGAGCTCAAATAAGTTTGCACACAGAAACTATGGCCAATCCTACTGGCTGGGTCGGGTTCCCTCTCTTCTCTCTACGCTTCCAATGCTTTGTACAGTGCTCCAGCTCCAGCAACCAGCTGCGAATTGGACCCAGTGCCTGGTAAGGAGGACGTATGGCTGTTGTGCTGTGCACGCTTGAGCACCAAACTACATGATGCTGTTCTTTATTTGTTTTGGGTTTGTTGGTGCATTGCAGCTCAGTGTAACAGTCTTGATTAAGCATGAGTTCAAGGTAGGCTTGATGGTTCATTAAGGCAACCCTGATAGAAGAGGCTGGAGAGCACTCAGTCCAGCTGCATTCTCACAAGGATGCTCAGTGGTCATCACCTCCCAAAATACTTGTAGATCAAGTTATTTTGCTTTAGGAGGAATTGCACACTGAAGGCCAAGCTCAGTTTGCTCTATTTTTTCTGTGCTGCTCAGACATGGTGCACACTTGAGCAGTGGAAAAGCAGCTGTGCTAGCATTATTTTTATTTCTGGAGGTCAGCTTGGGGGGAACCGAAATATGTCATGCAGACTTTGGTTTTATTTCTTATCTTTTTTTTTTTTTTTTTTTTTTTTGGTTACTCTGCTTACACCGGAAACTGTGAATAGGTATATTTGTCAGCTTTTACAGTAAATTTCTTCTCTCCCATCCCCCAAACCTGGAGCCAGAAACCGCCATCCTTCCCCACCCAGCCCTGCAGGGAGGAGCTGTGAGGGCAGTGTGGACAGGGCTTTGCCAGGGGGACGTTCTGCCCCTCGTGCACCCTACAGCATGCTGGCTTTGGCAGAGCTGATGGTTTTGCTCGCCATGAACAGCAGCAACACCCAGTTGTGAGACATTCTTGGTAAGGTAGCAATGCATCGCTTCCAAATCAGTGTCATGCAAGAGCAAGAAGCACCTTTGGGATGGGTTTCATTTCAGACCTGTCCTGTATTCAGCTCGTTTTCAGAGTTATCAGTGCAACCCGCAGCACAGTGCTGTGTGACACTGCCTTTAATTAGTGTTCAGAGAAATTAATGCCAATTAACATTGTAAAAGCAGAGCTGTATTAAACAAAGTGACTTTCATTCCCTGTGCTGACTGCATCTCCAAAGCCACAGGAGCTATGAGAATGCAGGCAACCTGCTTTGAAGTTCCACAAGGAATGGTCAGAGAGGGCAAGTGCACATTAAGCAAAGGCTGAGAAATCAGCTCTGCTTCAGCTATTGCTCCAAAGCATGGAATTTTCCCTATGTGCATAAGGGTAACAAACAAAGAGAGCAGTTCCACGCATAACTGTGGTGTTATCTGCTGCCAGAAGTATTTATAATGGCCTCTGAAGATTTTGTGATTAAATGGTATGTGGTGGGGCTGAAAGAGCAAACTGGTGGTGTTGCAAAGCTGAGGGAAAGTAAGGATTTCGTTTTTAAAAGGAGTCCAAGCAGAAAAGTTAACTCTGTCAAACATTTTTGAGGTTCTCCCGTAATTTTAGACTCAGTTTTTCATTTTGTTCTGCAGTGCAAAGCACAGATCGTAAATCTGAATCAACGCTTCCTACTGGGATGGTGCTTTTCATGGACGATTTGAGCTGGATATCCAGCTGGGCTTCTTCATAAAGCCAACTGCAATCCTCAGAAATGGAAACTTACCAACTGACATGCTTACAGATCGAAGGGGCAGCAGCAAGTCTTGCTATCAGTGCTTCTGAAAACACAGGGCCTTCCTGAGCTTTGCTATCCTGTGGTCTCCTGCTCTAAACTGCCTCCAATGGCAGTTGGGTATAATATCTGCTGATGAAGAATGGTATTTGCTCTGCTCTTGTTGTCTCATCATTTAGCTTGCTGAGCCCTCCCTGCCTGCTTCCAAAAGCCCTGGGGTACACATGTCCAATGAGAGATGGCAGCAATGGCTGTCCAAATGGGGATGCTCTTCACGTTTGGTTCTGTTTGCTTTTAAATAACACGTTTAAACCATAGCATATTTCTCCCAAATCTCTCATCAACCAGCCTGCAGGTTCACTCGGACCCGTTTGCCCTCCAGGTTTTGTAAATCACTGCGCTGCACACCTGTGGCACAGGAGCAACAGGAAGCAGACAGACCAAAGGGAAAGTGCATCATGTAGGAGTGTTCTGCAGGAAAACGGGGGCAAGAAAAGACAATAAACACCACCTGTCTCTTTGTTTCCTTTTCTTTTTTACAGCTTCTGCTTCAGAACAACAGCCGCAGCCTCGCCCCTACCAAGGGGTCCGCGTCAAAGAGCCAGTGAAGGAGCTATTGAAAAGGAAGCGGGGAAGTGTTCATAATGCCACTGCAGCAGCAGCCACAACGGTAGGAGGGAGAAAGAAATGCGGGAGCAAAGCTTGGTTGGGTGGCTGGGAGGCCCTGGCATCGCTTTGTGCAATGAGAGAAATCTTTGTATCACCAGAGTGTTCAGAGATAGCGGAACCTCTCGTTACCTGGGGATACTATGAAATATGTTTTAAATGCAATATATAAGTTAGATGTAAATGAAGACCATGTTTTGAGCGACCTGGGAGTTGTCCCTGCCTATAGCAATTGGGTTGGAAGTATATGATCTTAAAGGTCCCTTCCAACCCAATGCCTTCTATGGAATAAATACATTTTCACCTTTACAGTTCTGGGCAGCTTCAGCCGCCATTGATTTGGCTGAATGGAGACAGGGAGCTGCTTATGGTATTAATCCTTGGATATTTTTCTTCTCTTTTCTAGGTCGTTTTGCCCCACCAGCCCCTCCCTTCCTACACACCAATGGGTAATACTTCCTTGATTTTCTACCTGTTTCTCAGCCCCGCTGCAGGGAAAGCCGCACAGAACTGAGCTGTAATCCCCTCCTGTCTTCCAGGCCAGCCGTGTATCGATGTGGATGCTGCTGCCCCTCCACTGCCCGGCGCAGAGGAAGGAGCACTGTGTTCCAGCTGGCTCTCCCAGCCCTCTCCCTCATCCCTGCAGCCTCTGACTCAGTGGACCACTTACCCCGACTACGTGTCCCACGAAGCAGCCAGCTGTCCTTACACTGCAGACATGTACATCCAGCCTATGTGTCCCAGTTACACGTTGGTTGGGCCTTCGTCTGTACTGACTTATGCTTCTCAGCCACTGATCACCAATTTCGCGGTAAGTCAAAGGCACCTGACTATAAATGATGGCAAATTCCCCACCTTCCAAAAAGCCTCAATGGGGAGTGCAGGATGGAACTCATATGATTTAATTATTGTCATGCAGCTCATTCTTGCATGTATTCTCATAGTGTAGCCCCTTCTTGGGCATTGGAGAGCTATGAAGTTGCTTTGAAATTGGAGACTCCTCTGCCATTTCTCCAGCTCTCTACACTCCTTTAGCACTTTTCATGTTGCTGATACAGCCTGTTCTTGCTGCTGTCCTGAGAAATGAGTCATCTCCCACCATGTCAGCAACAGGGCTGCCATTGCCTTGAGTTTGTTTGGCTCTGTGGACGTTATTTATTGTCAGGGAGTATTGTTTGCAGCTCAGGAATGTTAATGGGGAGTGTTCAGCTTACTGTTGTCATCGGTTCCAGCTGGAGTAGGGGTTCTTCATCTTGGATTTGCAGTAGCTGAGAAAGCTGTAGTTCTGAGTGGATTTACTCTATGGCCCATAAACACTGTTGTCAAATCAAGTACTTAGAATCATAGAATGGCTCAGGTTGGCACTCAAAGATCACCCAGTTCCAACCCTCTGCCACAGGCAGGGCTGCCACCCATTGGTTCAGGCTGCCCAGAGCCCCATCCCACCTGGCCCTGAGTGCCTTCAGGGATGGGAAGGAAGCTGTCCCTCCAGAGGTCTGTGCAGTCTTCATGGGATTCTTCACTATTTAATTCCAAATATTTGGAAAAAAAACAAAACAAAACAAAAACAAACAGAAGTGAAGGGAATTCTGGGAAACACCCACTGGACATGCCAGGAAAATGGCTTGGTAAGAAAATGCTGCCAAAGAAGGCAGCATTCAGCGCAGAGCGAAGCTGTCTCGTGGCCTTGCAGCGAGGGTGGGACTGGGAACAGAAAGCTGAAGGGAACTCGTCATGAGCACAAGCTACTGCCCGCGAGCACCTGGGACACCCACAGCCACTGCTCTCATGGGAGCCAGCGTGGGAAAACTGTCACCTTGGGTGTAAAGCTTCCCCAGAGAGACAGGAAAAGGGATGTTCAAAGTGAGACTGAGCATCCTTCCCCTCGTTTCCCGTCCTCCCCGCGCCCCACCCTATGGCCAATGGTTTTATTCTGTCCAATGTCTCTCCTTCCCACCAGCCCCGAAGCAGCACCCCGGCCGTGGTGCCCCAGCTGGAGGTGACGGAGCAGCAGCCACCCATCACCTACTTCCCGTGGGCGCAGCCCCTCTCAGCACTGCCAGCCCCCACCCTGCAGTACCAGCCGGCCTCTTCCACGCTCCCCACGCCGCAATTTGTGCCCCTGCCCATCTCCATCCCTGAGCCGGCCCCGCAGGAGCTGGAGGACGCCCGCAGGGTCATCGGCACACTGCCCCTAGAGAAGCTGCTGCTAGAAGATGAAGACAATGATACGTATGTGTTAAACCACGCTCTCTCTGTTGAAGGGCTTTAAGCTGCACGATTTGGGTCCGGTCCTCGTATACTCAATGCTCCACCACGAGCACTGAGTACAGAGGAAACCCGGCCCAAAGTTGACTTGGGGTTTTATTGTCCGCCTCCAGCACACCGTGGCTGAGTGCTGAGTGAAACTTGCTTTGTCCTGGGGCCCAGCACCCAATGTCTGTGCTGTTACAGCCTCAGCACGAGGTGACTTTCATCTCACAGCCTGAAATGGACAAACCGTAGTGTAGCCGTGGCCAACTGCAGTGTTGGGTGAGAGTGCCCTCGCCTCTAGGTGTTGGCAAGACCTTTCCAGTAGGACTGCTTTCTAGAGCTAATGCCTTGTGTATGTCTTTGCTCTGTCTGTAGAGCTGTTTATGCCGCTTGAAAATGTTTGGGGGCCTGCATTGGTACTTTTCAAAATTGAACCACCCCTTTGGAAAACAAGAAAATGTAGAAGGTCCATTTGTTCTACTGGTGCAAATGGGTGCATCAGTCCAAAGATGAAAAGTCAATGCAGTTGAACTACATGACAGTGCAGTAGGGTTTCCCTGTGCGCAAAGCAATGCAAAGTGGCCTGGGTGAAACCTCTGATTTCACGTGAAGGTGAAACTCAAAGCTCTCACCTTCTCTGTCCCTGTAAGACAGATGTGTAGGCATTGAAGGACAGTGCTTTGCAGTCGTGGTCTTTCATCTACAGAGTGCTTTTTGGACTCTGAATTTTCATCTCGGAGGTGGGGGGCTGGTTCTGTGGCTGGCTGGTAATGCTGCGTGTTCTACCAATGGACAGATCCTGGTCCCACTGACGCCACCGAGAGTTTTGCCTGAGTCAGGATTGCACAGCATGGCCCCATATCAGCAAATCATTGAGAAGACAGGGTCTTCCAAAACCTGGACTTCAGCCTAACAAGAAATTTGTGACATTACTATTAGCTGGCAATACTTTCATTTCTTCTGTAGCATTTGAGTACGAAGTTGTCGGTGTGCTGAGCCAGGGAACCTTAGTGACCTCTCTTGTGCCTTACTGTTATGGAAAGTTCCTCTGCGTTGTAGTTTCCCAAGCTCACAGGTGCACACATTCTCTCTTATGGCTTTCTGGTTTTCTTTCCCAGACAACGAGTAGCTTTACCTTTTCCTCTGATGTCGCTGTAAATCTTGTTGTTGATGTTCAGGAGTGCCATGCCACAAACAATACTTGCAGGAGATGAAACCCCCTTCTGATTTTTGTTTATCATTTCCTTAAAAAAATCTGGGGGCTCTTGGCTGGTGAACACAATTTCTCTGGGTTTTTCTGCTTTCTGAAGCCCAGGATCCTTAGCTGAATTCAGTACTTGTGAGATCATGCAAAGTAATTTATTGCACTGCTGACTGCCTGGTGCCCAGCACTCCAGTTGCCACCCAGGCAATATTTCAAGTAATGTTTTATGCCTGAGTGAGGTTTGCAAGATCAGAGCAAAAGTCTTGAGGACTTTCAAAGCGTATTTCATTGTTTAATACTCACAAATCTAGAAACACGAGCAACAGATCATGTAAGTGATCATAAATCACTTGAAAATAGCAGCAGTCCAGGCGCACCGAAATTAGTGGCTTACATTTGCAGAAAAACCCAGCAAAGAAATTAATTAGAAAGAGTTTGGTTCACCGCTGCTTACTCCAGTTTTATGAGTACAGAATCATTCAGTAAAACTGGGATAACAGGTGTGAGAACCAAACCTGTGGTTGCTAAGATTGCATTTTAATTCCTTTCACTTCAATGTATGTAAATTCTGTGTGTGGATACCAAAGACGAACTACTTCAGAATTTCTTTCTGGGTTGTTCTGGTTAGAAAAAAAAACAAATTATTCTCTAATAAAGATCTACAGTAACTTCCATACGCCTGGAGTGTTTTATTTCCTATACAGAAGTATAACCCAGCTCTGGGTTAGCAGTCAGCCCGTGAGTACAGCCCAGAGCCCAAGGAGCTGTTGGGCTTTCTGCTAGTTTAGCACGTTGAGGCAGGCTAAAGAGGATCTCTGTGGTCCAAATGTGGGCTGGGAGCACTGCTTGCACTGCACTGCTGCTGCTTGGGTGTTACCTGCTATTGGTAACCATGTGGATGCATGGTGTGCACTCACAGCTCATGCTGAGCTTGACTGCAAACCAGACCAGCCGTGAAGTTGCATTTCTACTTCCTAAAATTGCAAGCTGTGGCTCTGGGGTACAAAATCACCTGGGGGAAGAAGTGACTGCCCGCTGGTTTATATGACTAAGAAGTGTTGAATGTTGCTGTCTGGAGAGGAGCAAATTGGGCTGCTAGGGTTCCTTGTGCCAAGGTTTTATGCTACCATGGCACGCAGGGCTCTGTGACCCCAAACCAATGGGAGCCCCAACGCTGAGTTTGTGGGGGCCTTTGGTACATCGTGGCACAAGTGTCAAGCTCACCCGAGGGAAAGTGCTGATGTGGAAAGGAGCCAGCAGGGCAAAACCCAGGGTGCTGAGGGATTGGGAAAGCAGCAGTTATATTGAGGTAGGAAACCCAGTTCCTGGAAATGGGGTTATCTGAACCTCAAGTCCTTGGGGTTATGGCATAGTTTGGGGGAACTCTGGGTATAAAACCCCCAAAGCAGCGCTGTTACCCTGTAAAACTGTTTGCTTCCAGGGTGATCCATGGCCAAGCAGTGATCGATGTCTTTATTTACTGTCTTAGAATTCTACATATTTATGCAGCTAAAGGTATGAGGGCGTTTACGTTGGCAGCTGCAGAGCGCATGAAGGAGCTGCGGAGACTCGATGCCAAGGAACACAGAGGAAAGGTAATGCTGAGCACCTCCTGCAAACAGCAGCATTGGGGATGGCGCAGGCTGCGTGAAAATCCCCTTCAGCCTCCCTGTTACTGCAGGAGTAGCTCTGAGCAGTTGCTATGCCTTGCTCTGGCACTCTGAAAGCGCCGCACTTGATTTGCCATCTGAATTAGGGCAGGAGAGCTCAGCAGGAGCTGGAAGTGCCCCTCACTCACGGTGCCATGGGCTCTAAATCTGCCTGTGAGCTCCCCTTGGCTTGTGCACCACAACCCTTGGCCTTCTAGATCCCATCTGACCCAGCCTGCCTCTCCCTTTCTTTTTTTATGATCACATCTCCTTCCAGACTCTCAGGGCTCTCTGCTGTGCTGCCATTCCAGACCCCGCTCCTGGTGGCCGTCACTGCCCGGCAGTCAGCGATCGTCCACGATTTGATCCAGGCAGGAGCAGATGTCAATGCTGTAGACAACAAAGGGCAGTCAGCTCTGCACCTTGCTGCAACGTATGGGTATGCCCAGGTTCTGCAGGTAGGAAAAGCTTTTATGGTTTGATTGCTAGCAATGTAAGCCTATGTTATCGTCTCATTATCGCCATCTTTAAGGAACTTTCAGAAGGGAAGATGTCTGTAAGCAATTAAGATTTTAAGAGGAGAAAAAAGCGTATCTTTCCATTCATGTTAGGATCTTCCCAGGGTTTTTTTTCCTAATTTAGGATTTGCAGCCAACACCATCACAGAAGGAATCTCCCCAGCTTATCTGTAGGAGAGAATAAATTCTTCTTGCAGAGCTGATGGTGGGCTGGACGAGGTGGGCTCACTTGGGTTGAACAAGACTGCAGGGTGTTGGATAAACCCAAAGCTATGGGATATACAGCTCCAGCAGCCATCAGTCCTGCTTGGCACACGTCCTGAGAGGGCCAGCAGCAATGGTTAATGTATAACGCGGGCAGTTCTTTGGAAAGCAGGTGTTTCATTTAAAGCACCGTGCATTCAGATAATTCCATCAGTGCCAACTGGAGTGGTGGAAATGAATCTGTTTTGTTCTTCTCAGTGTTTATTTTTTAAACATAAAAAGAGGAATCAGAGGGAGCAAGGAATAGTGCACGTGGGTTTGCTCCTCGCCCAGGTCACAGGCATGACATGCAACGGCATTTTTTGGTTTTGTTCTTCTTCTTAACACCTGAGACGTCTAATCTCTACACATCAGCTCAAAGCCTCTTGTCAGTGTTTGCTTTGGGTATATTTTATTCTTGTTATGATAAGAGAGCACAAGCCCTAACGTTTCTGAGTAATCCTTCTCCTTGTCCAACACAATGGCGTTGGGATGAGTCACCGCACAGCCAAATCCCCATGCAAGATGCTGTAATGAACAACATGCTGCCTTCAGTCCAGAGCAAAATATACACAATCTGTGGTAGTTCAGACAAGGAGCTATTTGGCAGCATCACATCAGATCTGTTCTTTAAGGCACTTCTTTTGCTCCCTTCTAAACCCAAGCAATGCTCACCTACAGACCACTGTGTCACTCCTGCGTGCTTATCCTTGCTAAGAGTAACTTGGAACAAAAGTGAAGCAGTGTGATCAAGATATGCCTGTGCTCAGTGCAGGGGAAGTGTGAGGAAGTTAACACCCTTGAGCTCAATTTTAGGAACTGAGAATCTAGTAGAACCCAATGGGATATTCTTGGGTTCGTTTTAGGGGACTTAGGGAACGTGATCACCTTGTGCGAACCTGAGTGACATCCCTGCTAGGAAATAGGACTCAGCGTGCCAAAATCTAGTGCCAATCTGCTTAGCCTACAGTTAAATTATAATCACCTCTTGTCTAATTGCCTCTTCTGGGGGGGTTGGTTGGTGGTCTTTTCCCATCTTTTGTTAGCTCCAACTGTTGTGATTCGGACAACGTTCTGCTGAGCTAAAATTGTCCCAATTCTCTGTCACTCCCAGGTGATTCTTTCACAAGGCCTCCCTCTCGATTTAGAAATGAAGGATTTTGAAGGTGAGACCTTATGCACAAGCATTTTATCGTGGTCCTAAAAGAAAGAAAGAAAGAAAGAAGTGATGCCATTGATGTCAGTGGCTGATGCTGATGTGCACTGGGGTCTGCTGATGTGTGGGGTGGTGGGCTCAGAGGCATCTCTGCTGGAAGCTCAAATGTCACAGAGCTCAGTGGTGCCTCAGTGCACACATGGAGCTGAGTACACACCAAAATGCCCCCAGATTGTCTGTGCAGCCAGAGTGGGACTTCTGGAATTAGAGAAAGGTCTCGGGGCTTAAAGACACCCTTGCCAAGATATGTGCATAGTATCTTTGGAGTGGAAAGGACCCTTAAAGGCTACCTGGTCCAACTCACCTTCAGTGAGCAGAGACACCCACAGCTCCATCAAGAGCTCACATCCTCCCCTTATGGTGCTGCTCTGATGGGGACCATCGTCACTCCCTCCCCAGGCCATACCCCTCTGCACTGTGCTGTCCTGGCCCACAACACACTGCTGCGGGACCGGGGCCGCCTGGCACTGCCAGAGCAGCAGAGTGAAGAGCTGCAGCACCAGAGCTGGGAGCTGGAGACCTGTGTGCAGCAGCTGGTGCAGGCGGGAGCTTCCATCTACAGCCGGGTAGGAACTGCTTCTCCCCATCCCTCATTCGTCCCCCTGCCTTTTGTTGGTACGGGGATTCTGCCTTAAGATGCTCTGCGGAAAGATTCTCATTTGGTTGTGTTTGTCTGCACTGAAATAGGATGTGAAAAGCAACAAGACAGTTCTTCATTACACCGTCCAGGATGGGAACGTCTCCCTGCTCCGCTACTTCCTGGAGCTGAATGCTTTCAAATCCAAGGACTTCATCAACAGCAAGGTGAGCCCAGACAGAGGCAGCGCAGAAAGCACTGGCTCCCCTCCCAGACATGTTTTTGAGCAGCAAAGAGGCACTCACATGGGACTTAGTGCAGGGCTTGGGCTGAGCCCTGGCAGCAAGACAGATAATGGGGGGGAGAGGGATGTGGGAAATGATTTCTTGGGGAGGGATGGGAACTTTGTGACACTGGGCTGAAGGTTAGCGTTAGGGTTAGGGTTAAGGTTAAGAAAATAGCTGAGCAGTGATGTGATGCTTTGCTGTTGGCAGTGTTTGGGGCAACTGTGTGTTGGTAACCTGCTCCAGCAGTGCCCTGCACAGCAAGGGACAAAGCTCCAGTACTAAATGCATGGAGTCGGGCACTGCTTACAGAGCTGAGATGTTGCCTCAGTGTGGTGTTTCTATGGGCACGGTCATCCTGGATGAGCTGGGAGCTTCCCAGCCCTGCTGCTGTCACCCACCCCCTGCCTGCCCCATGCTTCACCTCTGAGCAGACACAAAGCAGTGACACTATCTTGCAGCTCCATCAGCTGCACCCATCCTCCTGAGCAGAGATCCTGACATTCCTGTGTGTGCTGAGCAATTGCCCTGCACTGTCAGCCAGAGATCCCAGCAGCTGCCACCTCTGTGCAGCTCTGGGGAAAGATTTGGGTGCTCCTGCAGAGCTGAGCTGTTTGCTAGGGCACAAAACCCAACCTTTTGGGCTGGAGGATGGGAAAACATGTTTGGTTTAGTGTGTACGCAATTACACTGGGTTTTTATTTTTCTTTTATTGCATTCTTTCTGTATCTTTTAAGAGCCATCAGGCACGTGCTATCTTGTCCAGGGGAGTCTGCTGTTGTCTCTTGATCACAATGCTGGGAGAGCTTCTTACCGCGATAGGATCGCTTGGAGCTTTGTTGGTGGGATGCCTGGGACAGGGAGAACTGCAGTGGCAGGGTTGGCTGCTCCTATCTGGGCTTCCTACCTCTTCCAAGCACGACAAAGAGAAGAAAATAGAGATTCTGTGTTTCGGCTTTCCTGGCTCACCCTTTCCTTGCTGCAAGTTGTCTCATTCCAAATTCAATCGACTGTGGATCTCACGATGAGAAAACCATTGAAGGTTCTGAGGCATTTTTCATCTCACCCCTTTCGAGAGCCCAGATGTGCTCTGAAATTGTGGCTCACACAAGTCCCACTAAAGTCAATGGAGGGGCTTCAAGATCAAGCCCTGCCAGCTGGCCTGGCCCTCATGGCCTTGTGCCTGGGCTTGGAAGCTATCGAGTGCCTCTGCCACCAAGATGCAGCAAACAAATGCAGATGTTTCCTTTTTAATGAGCATTCGTATAAAGACCTTATAAACTTTCTCTTGAGTTTATGGGATGGTAAAATTGACAAGTGTCTGCTTGTTCAGTGCTTGTAAAAATGCCTTGCCTGCGAATAGCTATTGAGATTTCCATTCTAATTCGCTGTTTTGTTTCGTGCTTCCAAGTCTCTGATGTCTGGCTGGTAAAAAGGAGGTGAAAATCACACACGTCCCTTTTCGCAGTTGGTGCCATCTGTGCCCATCTTTCCCAAACTCATCAGAAACGTCTGACTGTTTCAGTGAGGAACAAACAGATACAGCTGCCACAGCGAGACTTGGTGCCGACTAAAAATACCTCTCTTTGTGCATCTGCATGCTTGCTGCTCGCCGTGTCAAACCGTTACGGGTCATACCCCAGTGGGCAGCGTTAGGGTTGCATGGGCAGGTGCCATGCTTCGTGCTGAGCTCCCCTGCTCAGCCTGCGGTGCATGGAGGGATGTGAGCTGCTGGAGCTCTGGCTCTCTGCACCCTTCTGCAGTGCCTTCCGGAGCACCTCTTGCTGAAGCCATGAATGGGGAACAAGGGGTAGGGATACTCTCTCGGCTCTAGATAAGAAATGGCGTGAGATTTCTTGATGTCCATTACAAGGGCAGTTCTAAAAAAGGGGCACAACCCTTCAGAGGGTTTTTCTTTATTTTTAGGCTCATGGAAACACAGCTCTGCACATGGCAGCTGCGCTGCATGGTGACAAGAACCAGAAGGAAATCATTCAATTGCTCCTTGACCACGGGGCAGACCCGAGCATCCGAAACTTAGACAACGACCAGCCGATCCACATGGCTCCTTCTGGGAAAGCTGGGGACCAGGTGAGTGTTCCTGCTGCACCAGTGCCCTCTGCCTTTAACAGAGGAAACAGGGAGGACAGCCTGGGCAGCCTGGTCTGGTATTAAATGTAGAGGTTGGTGGCCCTGCATGTGGCAGGGGGTTGGAGATTCATCATGCTCAGAGGTCCATCCCAACCCTGGCCATTCTGTGATTCTGTGAGGACGCTGTGTGCCAACAGTGCTGGCCAAGTTGTGTGGCATGGGGCTGAGCTCGGTGGGGGATCCCTACTTCAGCAAATCCAAATTGAAGGAGCACAAAGCAGGCTTTAGAACCAATGGATCGTTAAGGTTGGAAAAGACTTCTAAGATCATCAAGTCCAACCATCAGCCCACCACCACCATGCCTACTGAACCACAGCTGTGCTATACCAATCTACAGCTGTTCCCTCATGGCAGCATGACTCAAGGGAAGATGAGGTTTCATGTCTATGGGTATGAAAGGGCTCCTGGAGCTTATTTTAGTCTCAGTGAGCTAGAATGTACATTTAGTTACACCTCTGGGAGTATATAATGAGGGGGGTGTGAGTGTGTGTGTATGCATCTCAGTGTCCACATGCAGCTTGTGACTGTCACTCCCCACAGCTTCACGTGGTGCATTGTAATACACCATATATATATCATATAATACAATAATACAATAATACCTTTGCATATTTTTTTTTTTGTCAGGTCAGGCATTTGCTGAAGAGAGGGAAAGTCACATCAACATTCATTTCTTGCTGCCGAAATGCCAGATCCTAGGTTGGAATGGCTTCAGCTCCAGCCTGTGGCACGAAGCCCCATAGAACAACCATGAGGATGGTTAACCAGCGTGTCTCTGCCCCCAGAATCTATACGCTGAGGTGGGATGGCAGTGTTTCTCAACCTGTGGCCTTTGGACCACGAGTAGCATGGGAGATATCAAGAGATAAGCTCTGAGATGGCAGAGAAGCTTATTTTGTCAACAGGGAATGCTAGTAATCCCGTGACACAAATTAGCAAACATTTGACATGCAGCCAAGTTTTGATTTGGTGGCAAAGGGCAGGCAGGACACAAGATGGTCCTTGGTAGCAATGGTTGAGAAATACTGCTCCAAGCCCTGCTCGCATCCTGTGCGAGGGCACTGGGTGAAACGCTGAAGCCTCTGTGATGTGTGCAATGAGCTCCACTGTCCTTGGGATGCACAAACCTGGGGGGGAGGGGGAGAAAGACTGGACTGAAGAGGTCGGCACCAAGACTGCAGTTTCCAGGGCCACGGCTGAACTGAAGACCTCCAAGGGAGGAGGAGCAGCTTGTTCCTGCAAGCTGCTGCTCTCCCTGCTCTTAGCACTTTGAGGAAGGGAGCTGAATCAGCTCTCCATTGCCCCATCGCTCACCCCAACCCTTGAAAGGAGAGCAGATGCTTGTGGGAGCAAGCGCGTGGCGCGGCTTCTCTCCTGTCCTCGTCCCACGTTAAGAAGTTCTTATCCTTTCTGTGAAATGATTTGTGAATTGCTGTGCAATCAGCTGGCGGTGTGCAGGAGGAGTGAAGGCAGGTGCCTGCAGGGGGTGAGAGCTCTGCTGGGGCAGCCAACACAGAGGTTCTCATCCCCAGCGCACGCTCTGCATGTTGCTGTTCTCTCAGCCTTGCAGAGTTGTTTTCTTCCACTGGGGCTGAACTGATTAAGTTGAAGGGCAAATCTCTTAAATCACCCCCGCGACTTCCTCCATCGCCCATTAACTCAATGCAGCAGGGCTTTGTTAGGCACTTGCGAGCCCTGCAAACCCTTCAACGACTGTTTTGCAGATCCAAACAAAAGCTCTTAAGAAATGCAGGAATCCCGATTAGAGACCTCCTGACTTCCTCATCCCTCCTCTTTGCTGGCTGGCTACCGCTTCTCACTACATCATGCCTACAAACCTGCCGGCGCCCTCTGACAAAAAAAAGCGGGCGCCTATTTGCATGTGTTTGCATAAATTTGCATGTATCTGGGCACGGGCCGGCTCAAGCATGTGCTTCCTTGCTTTGATGGGATGCTGTAACGAGACCCAAATGAGTGAGAACTGCATTGACGAGGAAAAGTGGGGAATAAATTCTCTTTCTCGACCTTGAGGCGATCCCTCCCGCGGCTCAGCAACGATCCCCGCGCCGTTCTGTGCCAAAATGAATTTCATCCCTTTGGGTCTGATCGCAGGATCTCCACTTCTTGCAGCTGTTTTGAGGAGGAACGTCCCTTTTATAACATCAGCAGCGCTGGCAGCGCTAATACCCCTTGTTTGCACACTTTATCTCTTCCTACCCGTGGCTTCAGATAAGAAGAGAACAAAGGCTCGTTAACGCTGAACAAACGCTTCCAAGTGGCACCATGGAAAAGCCATTGGGCGGCTGGCAGGGAAAGCTTTTTGATCAGATCCTCTGAGCAACCGGTTACAATAAGAGCCCTTTATTTTCTCTGTAACTGCAGGCTGCTGCCGGAGCTATTCGTGCTCAGAGTGGGGAGATCCTCATTTCTGAGTGCCCACGTGTTTATCCCACCTGGCGGGGACCGGCGCTTGGTAGCGCTGTGCCAGTTCTGTTAGAGCTACGGCATGAGCCACTGTCGTGTAATCAGCTTTTACAAGGGAGGAAAGCAGGGAAATAACGTGCTCCTCACGGCCAGAAAATCCACCGTCAGCCTTTCAATTGTTTCCCCCTCTGTTGTTTTTTCCTCCCAGACCACAATCAGCCCAGGAATCCTTCTGTCAACAAGGGGCGAGCTTCAGCTTGCACTGCACGTGTGCAGCTGTTGACACAGCACTGGGGATTGGTGACTGCAGCCCCCTTGCTATGGGGAACTGCAAAACAGCATAAAGAAGTGCAGCAGGGAAATGGGAAATGGCAGCCAGGGATGGAGAGTGACTTAGTTAACAGATGGGGACAGTGTCAGCCCTGCTGTGCTAACGTGGGCGCTCTCCTTGTATGCTTGCAACCCATTGGCGCGTGTTGTTTCCTTTGCTGCACACGAACACACTCTGGCAGTTCTTGCTAATGCAGCCAGCCCACGGGGAGGATGTGGTCATCCCATTTCCACCAGCAGCCTCAAACATCTCGCCTCTGCCTTATCCTCCCGTGGCTGTTTAATGTTGGTGAGGAGGGACTTCAAAGTGTGAGGCATCGAGGAGCTCAGCAGCGTTGGGCCAGGAGGTGACCATAACCCCACAGAGAACAAAGCACCTCCAGCACCACTAAATGACACATGTTGGAGCATCACAGAGGTGATGGCACTTTTATCTGCAGCAGCAGCACAGCTGCTGACTCCTATTTATAGCAGGTTTAGTGCTCAGGCTGGCTCTGAGCACTGGCACAGGTTGCCCAAGGAGGCTGTGGATGCCCCATCCCTGCAGGCATTCAAGGCCAGGCTGGATGTGGCTCTGGGCAGCCTGGGCTGCTGGTTGGTGACCTGCACACAGCAGGGGGCTGGAACTGGATGAGCACTGTGCTCCTTTGCAACCCAGGCCATTCTATGATTCTGTCCAGGTGAAAACAGGGAAGAGAGGAAAGCATCACTGAAGGTTGTGGTGAAGGTGGAGCAATATTGGTTGGGTTTGTTGGTTGTTTTTTTTGGTAGAATGGAGGAAGTTCCCTATCTGCCAGCAGTACACGTGTTTGAGTGCCTCCAGCTCTGGGCAGAGGGAAGGTGTTCAGTTGCAAGAGCCACCAGAGAACATTACTGTGGAAGCTGAAGAGCTGGAGGTGTGCTGGGGGTTGAGGACTTCTTCCTCATCTTTGTGAGCCTCCATCATTAGCCAAAGAGAAAGTTGCTGGCATTCAGCACACAAGCAATGGGCACTGTGAGTACCAAATGATTTATTTGTGACACAAAGAGCTGGTGTTGGTGACACGGGTTTGGTAAGGCAGCTGGGGGGGAGTTCTTAAAAAAAACAAAACCAGGGAATAAAATAAAGACCAAATAAAAAGCTACCACAGAAAACAGGAGGATGAATGTAGTGGCAACACCATGTGCGAGTAGTGATGAGTTGGAGGCAGTGCAACCGTATGCAGTTCCCAGGCAACGATGCCAACATGAAGGCAGCGTGCAGCCCCTCCCCATTAGCTGTAACAGATGTCCCAGCTCCTGTCCCTCCTGAAGAAGTCGTCAGTGGGTGGCAGGCAGCCCGAGCAATCCGTGCCAGGGCAGGGGAAACGTTGTGGGACCTTGGGGTCGGTGTGTGGGGGGCTGCAGGCAGCACAGCAGCAGGCGAGGGGCGTGTAGGGGGATGGGGGGTGGCAGGGCCAGCCCTCTGCTGGGCAGCCGTAGGGCATGGGGTCCAGGGCAGGAGGTGGGCTGTGGGTCAGGGGGGTGAATGGGGGCAGCTGGGGAGCGGGGCAGCCGTGGGGCAGCGCGTTGGGCAGATCAGCTGGGCTTGGGGATGCTGCAGCCTGCAAGGGAGAGAAATGAGAAAAGTGGGTTTTGGTTTGGAGTGTCGTCTTGGGGATGCAGCAGGACAGCTGGGATTGCTGCAGTGCTGCCCACTCAGAGGGTCTGGCTGCACAGAAGGTGGGCTGGCCCTTGGAGGATGGCCTGGTTTCAGCTGGGATATTCTCCATATTGCCTTGTGTGATGCTATGTTTTGGCTTTAGGAGAAAAACACTGATAACACACCAACGTTTCTAGCTGCTCCTCAGTATTGATGCACAGAGCCAAGGACATTTCAGCTTCTCATGCTGCCCTGCTAGCGAGGTGGCTGAGGGGCACAAGGATTTGGGAGAGGACAGAACCAAGACAGACAACCTAAGCTGGCCATATGGATATTCCATCCCATGTGGCATCATCACAACAGCAGACTAAACCCTGTTCCAGTTCTCCGAGCACTGACAGAGACCTCCTCTGAGCTCTGTGGGATCTCCATGCAGAGCACCACCTGCGTTGTGATGTCTGCACTCCTGAAGCACCCCCGTCCCCAAATAGCTCGCTGCTGCTTTGCCCCATGCTGTGACCCCATCCCCAGCATCCCTCGGAGCGCACAGTGCTTACCAAGCCCTGGTTGAAGCAAAGAGGGACTGGCTGGAAGGAATCAGGGATGTAATGTGATGGTGTCTGCAGAGTGCCCAGGGATGGCTCAAAGGCTGCCTCCGCCTGCAGGTAGGAGTCCACCAGCTGCTCCAGGTGGCCGGGGCTCTCCTCACAGGAGAGGCAGTTTGAGAACTGCCTTGACGGGCAATAGTTGGGAGCTGAAGAGATGGGTTCTGCATCAAAAGGTGCTGGGGGAGAAGGTAAAGCAAGAAGCAGTGCGTTATTCAGTATCTGTTCTCCCAAAGGTGTGCAGGTGCAAGTAGAAGCGTGTAGCTGGACGGGGGAAGGAGTGAGAAGTACCCACAGTACATTAACAGATGGAGATTTACCACCCTGAAAGACCTTGAGTACATCTCATGTTTCTGTATTAACATAAGCAAATTGATTCCTAAATATTGATGATTTAATCATTTCCTTGTCCACACAATGTATATATTCACACATGCCCAACCCTTGAGGTCTCTTTGCTTTGGCTGCAGAACGCTCGAAGGACCTGAAAGCCCCGAATGCCCTTCCCCCTTTCCTTGGATATCCACTGAGATGGGGAAGGAACTGAAAATCTGACACTCCTCTCACTGCTGCAGGGGCTGCCAGCAGAGCAGGAACAGCCAACAGTGCACAGTGCTCCCAACCCATGGGCTGCAGCCCAGGGACAGCAGTGCTCTCTGGGGCTGAGCATCCCTTGGGGAAGGGGCTCTGCCTTCCTGCAGTGGGAAGCTGCCCAAGCAGAGCGTTGGATGGTGCTCCTGCAGGGGGGATTATGTCCCCCATTGGCCTCTCGGCATCCACGTCTGCATTCCATGGGCTCCATTCAGGTGCCGACTGGCTGCACTGCTGGCTCTCTGCCTTAACCAAGGGCTGGAAGGACGCTGGGCTGTGGGAATGGTTGGGAAGGGACGCTCGGGTGGGCTTTGTACCAACCTGGGTGAGGAGGAGACACAGACTCTGCAAACTGGATGCTGTTGCTGCCCCAGGAAACCTGGCAAAGAGAAGGGGAGAGGAGGGTCTGGAGGTGCTGTAATGCAGGAGTGTTTTTCTGCACTCTGAGGTAAGTCATTTTGCTTCAGGCTATTCACATAAACCTCATTTCTCTCAGGGCTGAGGCACTGTAAGCTTCTCTGGAACCGACAGAGCAACATTCTCAACCTGAGCTTGTGCAGATAACGGGGCTGGAGGAGCACAGCACCTGGTGCAAAGCTTTCAGTATAGCATCGTCAGCACGCTCTGCCTGCTGCCTTGCTGCTGTCACTGCAGCAGAGATGGGGCTGCCTTGCAAACCTCCCCATGTGGACATCTCTTCATTCCCAGCATTGTGGATCACCAGGAACTTGTAGGGATGGGTATGAGTAAGAGCAAGCCATTTATAAGTGCAGCAATAACTGCCTTGAAGTGTGACTAAAGGCATTCCAGTTGTCCCCACGGCCAGGCATCTCTGGATCACCGGGGCTGATGCCAAAGCTGTTTGAGATACAGCACATCTCCCCCTAACACACCTCTGTGCCCCCACGGGAAGGGCTGGGATTCCCAAAGGATGCTGCAATCTGGAGTTGATGGGTCTGTGTTTGTTCCAGGAGCTTGACTGGAGGGAAATCTGTGCCCCAAAAGCAATGGGAATATTGATGCTTGTGCCCTGGGACTAGCATTTTACTCTGCAAATGCAAATCCTCTCTCCCCTCTCCCCCCCCCAGCTGTAACTTACACAGGCTTCCACTTCTTTTCCTCTATTCAAAATGCTGATAGCTCATTTTCCTGCTAACAGCTTCCTCTCCCCACGTGTTTAAATCATTAAACAGTGGCTGCTCTGGGAGCTGGTAGGCCTGCCCCTCCTGGCTTTGGCTGCAGATGTGCACCACAGCAGAAGACTTCAGGTCCAGCTCAGGCAGCAGCCAATCCCTCTAGGACAACCAGGAATCCACAATGGGAACCTCCTGCCCTATGGCCTCCATTTGGCTTTTTCCTTTATGGGTCAGATCAGCACGGTGCCAGCTGGCTCCAGGAAGGAAGGAAACCAATTGCACACTGCGCTGAGGCTGCGTGGGAGCAGAGACCCCCCTGTTCCCAAAGCCCAGCAGCTCTGTGCTCTGCTGGCCCCGACGGCTCCACCTGGCTTCCAGCCTTGTGCAGTCAGCTGCCATCAGGTGCAGGGAGATGAGATCTGAGAGCCATGCCAAGGTGTGGTGTCACGAACCGGGAAGCAGGAATGATTTATTGACCTTTTCATGCAAATCCCCAGCGCGGCTGGAGCTGGAGGGCTCCCACGTCGATGCGGAGCGTTGGCGTGCATGCGCTTTGCACACAGGTGAACCCACCTCCTTCCTTCCCCTCTCCGAGAGGGGACGGAGCTCAGGTTGTGCTGGATAACACAAGAGACCTGGATTCCCATATTCCCAAACCCTGCGTGGTTTCAGCACAGCACACCTTTGCCCTGGCTGCCATGGACACATCCTCCACCTGCACCAGGCTCTGCCCAGCACCGCTTTGCACCACTGCTGTGGTCCTGACCGAGTTTCCTTCTTCCCTATCACCCCGCCGTGCTCAAATCCCACTTCACATAGATCACAACCTTGGCAAAAACATTACATAAATGATGAAGGGAGAAGGCGCACAGCAGACACCAAGTGGTTTCACTCACCGCCGCGCCGGTTGCTGCTTGCCGTGCCCTTCTCTGCTGCAGCAACTCCTTAACAGTGATCTTTACCCTGACACCTTGGTACACTTTGGGCTTTCCTGAAAGACAGGATGGAAAAACTCTCCTCAGGACAGGAGACTTTTTGGGAGCACATGGCGTGTTTCCAGGCACCCCCTGATTACAGCTAACAGTTCGTTGCTCTCTGTAAGCGACTTGCAGTGGCAATTCTTTCACACCTGCTAATCAAGCTTGTGACAAGCAGGTATTTATGAGGGAAAAACAAACCAACAGTTGTTGATCATACATATTAATCATGTAGGTTTTATTCTTTGGTATCTCCTTCTATTTTTCCCTCCAGGTGTCCTAACACCCAGCCCCATCTGGTACTGCTGCTGCATCCCTTTAAACCCCCTCGTGTTTGCTGCTCCCAGGACCTGAAAATAGAAGTGGGGACTGCTTTGTCTGACAGATGAAGGGCAGGAATCAAACAATACAAATACATGGGTGGTTATTCAGAGGGTTAAATAAAACACAAATAAAATGCCTGCTTTCATGCCTTTTTTTTTTTTTTTGGCAAAGCCTGGGTTGTCTCTTTGATTCACGCATTCTGTGCAACTCCCACTGCCTTCAAACAAACCTTTAGGATGCCTTTAATCCAGCCCCAAACAACCATCAATCATCAGTCACTACCTGAGCAGGGATTTTTAGTACAGGAAATGGCAAAGAATTTATCTCATCTGAAGAACCACTTTCACCTGTTGTACTCATGCTGAAATCCTTAAAGCCTCTGGCAGTTCAGTTTCCGTCCTGACTTTCTGCTGTTATTTCCATCCCACAGCCAATCCTACGCACACCAGCATGGTCCCAGCCCACAGCTGCTTGCAGGCTCCCTGTCCCATAGCAGCCTGTGCTCACACATCGATGAAACCCCACTGCAGGCACTCTGCTCCCCCTGCTGTGACCTCTCCCTGCTGCTGATGGATGTGCAGCATCTCTCCATCCCATCTGACCTCCCCTGGTTGAAGGGATGCTGCCAGAGGTGCTGGGTCCCCCTGGAAGCGACTCAGAAGCTCAGCTGGGGCTTCTTCCAGGAGACTTTGCTGAGCTGCACCCTCAGCTGAATTTAAGAAGTCCCTTTAGCAGGCCCTATAGTCAGGAAGGGCACCCAGCCTCCTGTAAGTTTGGGATGCATGCAGCACGTCTGCACAGGGAGGCAGGCAGGGCTGCCAGCTGCACCACGAGTGCTCTCAGGACAACACACCAGCTGAGGAACGGTCTTATCTCTAAGCTGTGGACTGGCTGGGGGGGAAGGGAGGGAGGCTTCGCCCCGAGAAGACTGGTGGGTAAGGCTGCCAGCTCCTCTGGGCTGAGCACGGAAGGGGCAAGGGATGCGGGGCCGGGCAGAGCGAGGGCAGGCTGGGGCAGAGCGATAGCAGAGCGGCGGGTGGGGGAGCGGAGGGTCCCGGCTGCGTGGCCGGGGCTGGGGGGGGATCCGTCGAGCAGCTCTGCCCGCTGCGCTCCGTCGCGCCCCGGCCCCGTCGGGCGAGAGCCGCGCTGCCTCCTCCCCGCTCCCCGCCCTCCCGTTTCCTCCTCGCCCGGGGAGGCGACGCTGCCTCATCGCACGCCGAATGACCCCGCGGAACTCCGAAACGGTCCCAAACCGGGCTGATGCCGTGGGCCGGGGGCTTACCGGACATCCTGAGCGGCGGTGGCAGCGGCTCGCCCGGCGGCCCCAGTGCAAGCGGCGGCGGCCCCGGCCCCGCGGCGGGGGATGGGGGCTGGAAGCGGCGAGCCGGGAATTGGGGGGCCGAGGGACCCGCCGGCCTGGTGGCGATGCCAGGTGGTGCCCGCTCAAATATTATTGTTTTATACCTACGGGTATAAGTTTGAGTTTTTCTCCCCTTATGCCAAGTATTTAAAACCTCTAGAAACCAATGATTTGACAATCAATGATTGCGCGATACTTTCAATTTGAATATTCAAAGGCTCCACAAAATGGGCTATCTTTTTGTGAAACCGAGCACATCCCCATCTAGCAGAGGGTCTGGGGGAATAAGATCCAGTGGGGCTGCCCTCCTCACCCTGTGCTTTTCTGACATTTTCAGGGTTTTCTCCATCGTTCCCCAAACGAAGCAGATGCCTCGAACCCAGCTCAGCGTTTTCCCCTCAGACGTGCAGGCTGGGCTCCAGCCCTCTCATATTTCATGTGCTACCTGCACAGAGGACTCCACAAGGGACCGAGTGGCTTTTTGCACAATTTGTCCCTTTTTAAGGGGAAATACTCCGGATTTTGGACCAAAATGGCACTGGGAGGATGTGGCCGAGCAGAAAGGCCACACTGAGCATGCTGGTGGAAACCACCCAGACCCTGCTTCTTCCCAAAGCACTCCTTTCTCTCTCCCCGCATGCTGGCCTGGTGCTGGAGTTTACATTCACGTTCCCCTAAATGCAGGCTGTGTACTCTCCCTGCACGAGGCAGCCCCTCTCTCGGGTGCTGCAGCACTGGCCTGCCCCCTGTGCTGCAAGGAGAGGGGCTGCAGCCTGGAGGGACGATGCAGATTTAGGGCAACTCCTGCTTAACATCAATGTATTTGGGGTTTTTGGTTTTGTTTTAAGTCATGTTTAATCTTTACATAGCAGTGTCGGGCCTCGGGAATAGCTGGCTGATGCCAGAAAGCAGGCCGGGCTGTTAATCATCTACCAGCTGCTCAGTTGGGGTTGTTGTTGCAGCTGAATCTTTTCTTGAAGTAGAACAAATGCACTCAATTTAGGGGAGGAGGGGGAAGGTGGTGATCCCTTCCTTTGCTCTCCACTCGTGCCGGGTTCAGGGACGCTGCCCCAGTGAGGAGCCCTCTCCCCATGCTGTGATGTGGCACAGGGACGTCCTGCAGCACCTGATGATGCTAAGTGTCCTGATGCCCTTGCATTGCTGGGGATGCTTCCCAGAAGCCACGGTGGTGGTTGCCTGTGGAGCTGGAGATGCAGAGAGGAGCCTATTCTTGGATAAGGAGAGTTTCCAGAGGCCCTGCCTCAGTGAAGAGCTGAGTGCTGGAACGGGTCAAACACATCCAAAAGAGCTCTCCTGGCACCCTCCATGGGCCGAGTCTGTTTCTCCCCCCGGGCAAACAGAAAGGTGCGGTCCGAGGGCTTCGGGGCACGCAGAGCCGCGAGGGTTTGCATTTCCCAACAGGTCTGAACAGGGCTGGGGAATCAGGAAGCGACAGCGGGGCGGGAAGCCAGGACATGACCGGAGCCGGGCGCTCCCGGCCGGCAGCAGCCGCACAGCGAGGCTCTGCTGGGGGGTACCGGGGTGAGGCTGTGGGGCTGGGCGGTACCGGGACACCTGAAAGCAGCGGAGTTCGCCCCGATCTCTGGTTTGGGGGCGTTGTGAGGTACGGGGGCTCGCGTGGAGCCCGTGGAGCGTGAGAAATCTTGGTGGACTGCGGGAACGCGCCGGGCTGTGGCTCATAAAGGATCTCCTGCCGCATCCCTGCGCACCCGCGGACGCTGGGATTCCTCCCGGAGGGTTTCGCTGCCGATTCCGTGGGTATCCGAGGGAAGGGGCAGCGCAGGACTCGCGTGTTCGTGTGAGCAGAGCTACCTCTAGCGGCCGCCGCTGCGCCCCGGGATCGGGCCAGATGTTCGCTCCGGTACCGGGCGCTGCCGGTGGAATGGAGAGCAAGGGGGTGGGGGGGCGTCCCTGGGAATTGCTTTCATAAGCTAGATGTGATGTATCAGTGCCTCTGTTCGCACCTTCTGCTTCCCTACCTTCAGCTAGGGAAAAGCACACAAGTAACTCATTTGCTTCAGTAATGAAGTGTTTTCCTTCTTCTCCAGCTCTCAGAGGCACTAGATGGACCTTCCATCTTCCTTTGCCCAGACAAAGGTGTGGTGAAGGGCTGAAAGTTTGTTATGGGGTGAGTGGAGTTGGGTTGTAGGGAGCAGCAGGGATGGGGAGCTGCCCAGACAGCAAAGGATGTTTCTAGAGACTTCAGCAGGCTTAATGGAGCAGTTGTCTGGGAATAGGGAAAGCTATTTGTTTAGATCTTGATCAGGGAAAGGATGAGATGGAAACAAACAGAAAGTGGTGATGCACTGGAACAGGTTGCCCAAGGAGGCTGTGGATGCCCCATCCCTGCAGGCATTCAAGGCCGGGCTGGATGTGGCTCTGGGCAGCCTGGGCTGCTGGTTGGTGACCCTGCACAGAGCAGGGGGTTGGAGCTGGATGAGCACTGTGCTCCTTTGCAACCCAGGCCATTCTGCGATTCTGTTAAAGTTTCTGCTTGCAGTAGCAAGCTGGGAGGAACAAACCTGCTGTGGGCAGGAGAAAGGGATGGAAGAGGGGAAAATCACACCTGGGGAACCACAGAGCCCCTCTGCAGGGGCCAAGCAGAGCCCCCTCCCCAGGCAGGAGTCAGTGTGGCTTAACCAGGAGAGTCAGCCCAGAGCTTGCAGCACCTGAAGCCACCACATCTGCACCTGCAACAAGCCATAGGGGTCTTCCCTTTGTTATCACTGCTTTTGTGTTAACTCTTTTGAATGCTTTCCTCTGGGGCTGTGTCTTTTTGTCCAAACAGCACAGAAGGCATTTATTTATTGGTGGGTAGGGAAGGGGCAAAAGGATGACTGGGTTGTGTTGCCACTGACCCACAAAAGATAAAGGCATGATACCAAATGTCTCTTCAAAGCAAGGTAGTTCACTGAGCACGGAGCTCAGGAAGGTGTTGGCGTGGCTGCAATGCGCTGCCTGAGCCTTGGTGCCATCGCTATGGGGAGATTATCTTCGAGATTTCAAGCCTGGGGCCTCTGAGGTTTAGCAGATGTAGGCTAAGAAGAGATTTCAAAGGAGAGCCGGTGGCAGAACTATCAAGATAACTGGTTTCTTTCCCATATATTTCAAGGTCCCTCAGCACAGCCACAATGCTGAGCAGTTATTTCGGCATCAGCACAAAACAGGTCACAGTAAGAGTCGATATATAAGTCCTTGGCTCATCAAAACAGACTGAATCTGCACAGCCCAGCTCTGTCGTGCTGCATTTCCCTGCTGCAGAGCCTCTTGTGCTGGCTCCTGGTGAGCTGTGTGTGGAGGCAGCGGTCTGTAGCTCCTGGCTGGGTGGTACAGCAATGCTGAGAGCAATAATAATAACAATCTCCTCTTGACCCCAACGTACTTAATTAGCCCTGCGTGCCCCTATGTGCTCTGTGGCAAAGACATCTGCTCCTTGGGGGCAGAGCTCATCTGTGGGGCTGCGTTGAGCTCTGCGTCTGGACGTTGGCTGGCTGGTGGTGATTCCATGGCTGGTGGTGATTCCATGGCTGGTGGTGATTCCATGGCTGGTGGTGATTCCATGGCTGGTGGTGATTCCATGCTGTGTTCAGTTTGCATAGCGCAAACAGGAGGTTCCTGCCGCAGCAAGCAACCAAATTCAGAGGTTTAGATTTGAATTAAATTTGCCAGCGCTAAGACTTCCTTTTGGTGCTGAGGGAGGCTTGCAGCTGCTCCCTGTTCCAGCATGGAAATGAGTCCTGAGCCCACACAAGTCGCAGGAGGTGGCAGGAAGGAGCCCTGTGGCCTGCGGGCAGATGGGATTCACCCCTCAGGGTTGGGGCTGCACCTGCCCAGGGCTGGGTGTCTGCGTGGCATGGCCCTCAGTGGGACCATTGCTCCAGAGCTTGAGCTGCCACATGCAAATCGGGGCTCAGCAGACGCCCTTCTTGCTGCATGAGCTTCTGCCTGCTCATGGCTACAGCATCTTGCTGCCATCTTGTCTGTATTCTCTTCTGAACCTTTGACTGAAGGTAATG